AGAATACCAAATTGGAATTTCGGCGTTGGAATTTGTTTTCCCAGGGCGGAGGATTCCAAATTTGGAATTTCCCCATAACAATTGGGCTTTTAAAATGAATCAAGGGAGGGTATTAAGGGCAGGGGGGGTATCAAGGGCAACTTTTTTCAACTGAGCATACCTCGGCGCACACTCTGCCGGCCCCCCCCTTTTTTTTTTTTGTTCAGCTTTCCGATAGTCCGTTAGCTTTCGTTTGAGCGCTTCAGCGTCGCGATCGGGTCCCGCAGCCACGAGATACAGCAACCCGCCCACCAGCGCTGGGGCATCTTAGCCCTTGTCGGGCTCCTGCTGCTAAGCATGGATCTGCAGAGAGTGGACCCCGTAGCCGCTGAAAAGGCGCGTGAAGCGGTACGCAGCGGTCGCATGTCACAGAACGCCGCTGCAGCTGCCTTTGGGTTGGGTAGAAGCTCCCTCCAGCGGCGTCTGGATGGAAATTGCGCCATGGACGAGAGGGTTGGCCCCGGGACTGTCATGACCAAAGCAGAGGAGGACGCGGTGGAAGATCTCCTGTTGTACGCTGGTAGAAACTTCATTCCTCTCACCACCGCAGACCTCACGGAGCATGTGAGACGGCTCTGCAACGACGGTCGGCCAATCCCGTGGAACAGTAGTGGCAAGGGCCCGGGGAAGGACTGGCTCAAGGGCTTCCTCGGAAGGCACGAGGGCATCAGCCATCGACTCGCCCACATCTACGAGTCTAACCGGGTGACCTCGTCAGAGGATGAGCGTCTGCACAAGTTCTACGGTTTTTGGGCGGAGTTTCTCGGCGAGCACAGGCCTGCGGCCGACCACATTTGGAACACGGACGAGTCAGGTGAGCATAGAGTAGTCTAGACTACTGGTGTGGTGTCNGTTCTACGATTTTTGGGCGGAGTTTCTCGGCGAGCACAGGCCTGCGGCCAACCGCATTTGGAACACGGACGAGTCAGGTGAGCATAGAGTAGTCTTGACTACTGGTGTGGTGTCAGCAGCAGCTGCTGTGTGGCGGTTTGCGGGCTTGTTTCTACGTTTTCAGCAGAAGTGCACAATGTGAAAATTACGCGGAGTTCTGATGCTGCTGAAAATTGGAGTTCCCCCGTTCCCCCGCATGCACATGCTGCGTGCAGAGGACCACTGCTGGATGAACGCGCAAATTGCTGTTGTGTACGCTGGGTGCTGCTCGGGGTCCTTGATTATGTCGGCAGTAAATACACACGCTGCTTGAAAGGAATTTTCGCTGGTGCTACACATGTTCTTACGCAGCACAGACGCGAAATTGACGTGTGGAAGTTGAAGCTGTTTGTGATGCCGCTGCGTTGTGCATCTTGCTCACCTCCTCGACTAATAGTCTACTGCTGTTACTCTGATTAAAATGAAGCCTAGATCTAGATGTCTTTCCGCCCTTGGCCCAAAGGCTAGGTTGTACTCTACACTTCTGTCATTGTGAAGCAGCTCTGCAGCAGCTGGGGAACATTTCACATATGAGGACATTCCACCCTGTGCGTCTGCCCTACCCGTTCCCCCGCGCCCACAACCCACGGTAGGCTGGACGTTGGTGGTGCGTGTGAGCGCTGTTTTGCCTCTACTTACTTCTCCCTTCTTCCCCTCGCTCCTCGACAAGCTTTTGCTTAGACATGGGTTGTAGTGAAGGGGGGGGTCTTTCTGGCGAGCAGGGCTAGATTCACCCTCAAGGGATGACCGAAACCTTCTTGCTGCTGCGCATATCCGCCGCGAGGCATGCGCGTGGTGGTGTAGTTGGGTCGGCACTGATGGGGTCAGGCGAAAAAATGTAGATGCGCGGGCCTCTGGCCGTCGGCGTAGG